CAACATAATATATTGTATATATAATGTGTTGCAGGGTTTATTATATAATATTTCGCACAACGCCATATGGCCCGGAAGCACAGCATTGTCCTCGCAATTCATGTTTTTATAGAAAACTTAACCTTTTGCTATTAAATTTTAGAAACAAAATTACAATCTGCATTAAAGTACGCATGCGCCGTCAGTACCGCTACCGCTACTAATTGCAGAAAGTGATACCGCTACCGCTACCTTTACCTCTACCTTTACCGCTGCCTCTACCGTTACCTTTAAAACTATAAATCCAGCTTTATAACACAGTTTATACGGGGTGTCAATGTTAGCCGCTACCTTTACCTCTACCTTTACCGCTGCCTCTACCGTTACCTTTAAAACTATAAATCCAGCTTTATAACACAGTTTATACGGGGTGTCAATGTTAGCCGAATAGATGGTAACTAACACTTTCAGAATTAAAAAAAATATATATAATAACACTGAAAACTGAAAGTCAATATTCAAACTACTACTTAATATGTATGCACAACATACTGATTTGCCGAAAGTGAGATTTGTAAATTTTTAGTGACGAAAATAAGCATAAAAAATGTTTTCTAAAGATGTGTCAGTGTTACCCGGTATTATCTTATATAATATATATGAAAAATTGACTATATCTCAAAAACTGTTCAACTTTTATAACTTTTGACTACATTTTCGAAGCGGACAATTTTACATTGGAGTTGACTGCTAAATGTCCGGGATACAAATTGCTGTTGACGATAATTATTATTCATTTTTAGAGAGTATGCTCGTTACCAAGTCATGCACTGTGTAGACAACCATTGGCGTAACTACAGGGGGGCCTAGGGGGGCCGCCCCCCCCCCAGACATCGCTAGGCTGACTTTTATCTGGTACAATTTTTTCTTATTACCAAATTTGCAATAGAAATATGTATGTATATATGTATATCATTTACATATCTTAGGTTGTATTTTATCAACTTTCAAAATACGAGTAGGTACCTATTTTAAAACCGCCCCTGCAAGCTCGCAACAAGCAATCAGGGCTGGATGCTCCCGTGGACGAGTTTTGGTTCGTGCCACGCATGATGCACTTAATGAGTAGTTGCCATGCGAATAAACGAATAATAGTAATATTATCAAAGAGAAATATCTGGACATAGTGCGTTTTTATTAAACTTAATATTAAAGAAAGTGTTATAATATGGATAATAGATTCTTTCAGTCCTTGATAACATTTAGGACTGTAGTTAGTGTTTTAAATTAAACTTATAGTCACTGTCCAGAAAATGTTTAGAGGAAACAGAAGCGGTCTTAACGTTAATATTGTCTATTCAACAAACGGTCATGCGCGGTAAGTCCTCAAGATCACATTGTAGTACTTACTCCCTTTCTCACTGGAACTGTTTGTTCAAAAAAATTGTTATTTGTGCCTTTTGAAGACAACATTTGTTTTACTTTTTTAAAGATTCCCAGTCACAATTACAGGACCACCCTAGGCCCCCCCGGGTCAGATGGCTAGTTACGCCAATGTAGACAACTGTTAAACTTTGCTACCGTCAACTGCAACTATCAAACAAATACTAAAAATATGATGACAATTTCACTCCTTTTATTTTGATAATCATATAAAAAAATTAAGCCGCCAATATCAAAGCGGCAAAAGGCGCTTTATAGGGGCCGAAAAAAAGAGCGGCAACCTTTATCCTATGTATGTTTAATTATTTTTTTATTTGCAAGTTTATCGTTACAAAGTACTGATTGACTTTTTAATTTTGAGCCCCCAAAATGTTGCGCCTGCGCACTGCACGCTTGCCAGGAACGGCCCTGATTTCAATAACTGGGTAATAGGTTATTTTTCACTCGAGTGATCCCAACACTACTAACCATACCTACTTTCTCTATGAGTAACTTAAAATAAATAACCTCCAACTTAAAGTAACGAATTCGGTCAATTTATTTCATTTTGACACTTTATTATTAAACAATGTTGTCATTTAAAGCTAATGTATATTTTTAAATAATGAATATATAATTTTTGTGGTATATTCTGAAACAAGTTTGTAATACGGTATATTCCTCTCAAGTGAAAAGTTTTGTCACACGAGCCGAAGGCGAGTTTGACAGTTTTACGAGAGCGGAATATGCAATTCCATATTTATTTCAGACTAAACTTTTTCTACGTTTCCAAAAAATATCTACTAGAAAAATAATTTCATTGGAAGAAAGTAAGGTTGGATCGGTCTAATAGTTCTTTGATAATAAACACAGAGATGTAGCCACCAGTGTTTATTTCGTCATCTGGTGAAAAAATTAATTATTACAACTGTACAACTTTAAGGAATATATGTTCAGTTTTAAGATAATCATGTTTAAAGTAAAAAAACTGGTGAAAAATAATTCATTCTGTAGAACTTTAAGGAATATATGAGGACCCTAGAAGCCAAGGGGTATAAGTACATTTTGTTTAGTTTTAAGATAATCATGTTTAAAGTAAAAAAGCACTTGTAATTTGACTTTGTTTTTCAAGATGTCTAAGCTTAGAATTCAGTTATATCTCTTGGATACCAAGTAAAATGTCCCATTTACTATCTTTTTCTGTACATAACTACATTTATTTTTAATGTCCTAGGGGTCTGTACAATGTGAAGTGTACCTTCAAGATGGTGCGCAACCTTTGGGATACCCTGTATAGAGTTACCCTATTAAAATTGCCATATAGAAACACAAAATAAAAATCTATCTGGTTCAATATAGAAATTTGAAACAGGCATTGCACTATTGAACCAGAGAGAATTCCATACCTGGAAAACCATATAGAAAAGTGATTTCTATATGGATTGCCATATAGGTTCATATTGCTCTATCTGGCCCAATATGGTTTGGTTGTGAAAAAATTATTACCATATAGATCCATATTTAACCATATAGGGGAATCTATATGGTTTAATATGCAATTTTCGTTTAATATATATACATTTTAAAATAGAATTCCATATTCAACCATATAGGGAAACACATAAAACAGAAACCAGATAAATCCATATAAAAATCCCTAAGTTTTACATTTTAAAATGAAATTCCATATTAAACCATATAGATTTCAAAGTGTAAACCAGGTCGTTCCATATAGGACATATAGAACCATCCCACATGGCAAGAACTTGCAACCTAAACGTTCCAAAAACGTCACTTGTGACATTGTTACATTATCGTTAATGTAACATAAACGTACTAATAACGTCATGGGGACTGCTAATGTCCGCCTTCAAAGATGTAACATTGTTACGTCACAAAATTAACGTTGCTGTACTGTGATGAATTAGCAGATTTTATGACGTCAATTTCTGTACTCTACAATTACGTTTCTATTGTAACATTTATATATCGGAAAAAATGTTACATGGGGTAAAATCACCTGGATGTAATGAAAAAACGTCTTAATAAAATAAATTTTTATTCATATAATTTAAAATAACATAAATACCTAGGTATATATATATTAGCTAATATATATAAACTCTTAAAAAGAATAATATAAAATAAATTAAAAACTAACAACAAACAAAATAAAAGGAACATTATTTATAAACTACCTAGAATCCACAAGTATAAAAACAAAACAAAGCAAATGCCTACCGTTTACCGGCTCCAAGCCTCAACGGCAACGCGTCTTTTGCCCTTTCCTTCTTCCACAAATAGAAAAACTCCATTTGTCGCTGTTTCTCCTACAAAAATAGTACTATATATTACTTAATTGTGAACATGAATGATTGAAACTGCTGTATACCTAGGTATAAGTAGGTAGGTACTTTTTAACCTTGATTTTTGTAAGAGACAAATTGATTTTGTCTATCTGTGGAAGAAGGGAACGACAAAAATATTTTTACTATTTACCTAATTAAATATGAATAGTTATGCATTCAACTAATTACAATTTTAAAATATTTTATAATACCTACTTAAGTACCTACTAATTATTTTTGAAAAATTAATGAAAATTATCTATATTTTTTTATGTTTAATTATACAACCTTCAATCTAACCAAGAGCACTTACACTGTATTTAATATTTCTCACTAACACACTAATTTAAATTAAAAATTAGAAAAATGCGACGATAACCACCTGTCGTTGCAATACGTAGACTGACCCGTCTCGAATTTACGGTTTTATTAAAGTTAATATAATAACATTCCAATAACAAGCGTATAATTTCGTGTTAGAGACATCCTAATCTTAACGTCAAGAATGAACTGTTTAATTAACGTAAATTCAGTATTGTCACAATGATGAACATTTAATTTTGTTTTATAGACATCACATTTTAAACGTAACGATATTACTGTTTTGTTGATGTATATGTGGTGACAGTCCCATAACGTCACAAAATTAATGGCTCATAAATGTTGATCAGGGCAAGTAGAAATCCGGACGTCCGAGAAACATTTATGGGACACATTTAAAAAGAGAGCACATATTTACTGTCTATGAAACAAGATTGAGACGTAAATTTTAAACTTTCAAAATGTGACCTTTTTGAGAATGTAACAAAATGTTTCTAAAACGTTCTTTGTCATGTGGGATATAAATCCATATTAGTTTCCTTATCTGGATCAATATGGGTTCTATAGGGCATTTTTAATAGGGTAACATTTTGATGCACCTGTTAAAACATGGTCGCCATTTATTTATTAAAACATAATTATCTAACTTTTTTAGAAATTTAGTTTTGCCTATATTTTTTATATGAATAAATGAATTAATTTTATTAGTTTTTTATATTTAAATAAAATAAACAATTAGGCAATTCAATAATTTTGGTGGATGTACCTTTTTTTCTTAAACAATTTTAAATGCGTACTCCTATCTATTTTAATGGCCTAAAAATCTGGCTCCAGACATTACAAGATTTATTAGTTACAGTTGTTTGAATCTGATATTTATTCTTTGTCTTAACATTTTGGTATACCCACCTTAAACTTACGTTCTTTTTTGTTTTAGCCGAAGGTGATATATGTTCCTTTGCCACGTTAAAAGAACATTATAAAAGACCACAAAATTTTCAGACTGAGCTATTTTCTGCAAAAACAAGACCCAATGCTTTAAATAATATATACGATGCCGCAGTTAAAACACCGGTACATGTTATGCGACAATTGGATAGATGGAGACGGGACGGACACCGTTCCTCCAGATTTTTCCTGTGTACACCAATATTAGGAAAAAAAATAAGGAGAAAAGTCAACATTGAAATCGAAACCCACATGGTGAGTACCACAATTTTTTACTAGTTAAAAAACACCCAGTTTTTCCATTTCCATTTTTCCTGTATGTTAATGAAAAAAATCTTTTTCTTCTAGATCAATAGTCTTAGACTCTACACAATACTAAAAACCTTATTAAAATCCATCGAAAATTTAATTCACACAAAGTTATTGAAAATATTGAAATTCCAATTTTAACGAATTGGCGGTGAAAAAATTCGCTCCAAACCGGTACTGATTACATATGAACTGTAAACTTTTTTCTGAAGATTAAATAAGACAGTCAGCTCCCATTCTGGGAAATTTAAAGATAATTAAGTTCAGTTCTTTTTTTTAAATTGTTCAACCACTTCGTGGCATTTTTGTCGGGTAAACTGGTTTCGCAGACTGTAATTCCTTTATGAAGTTTATGGATGACATCCCATTGTTTATTAATAGTTTCTTAGTTGATCTTTATTTCTCGGTGTGGTCAACTTTTTCCATTCGAACATAATCAATATTATACTGCTATTGCAAGTAAAAATTTAACAAATTTTCAGTTACTAACTAAAAATTCTTTATTTAGTTAATTTGATTCCCGGGGAAAAATTTTTCATATATAATCATATATGATTATATAAAATTATACATAATTTAATTCATATATAATTATATATGAATTTTGACCATCCATGATCATATATGAATTTTGGAATATATATAATTATATATAACCATACATGATCATATATGGAATTGGAACATATATAATTATATATAACTATATATGACCATATATAATCAAAATTATATATAATTATATATAAAACGCCGTAAACAACACTCTGCAATTTTTGGATTAATGACATTTTCTATTAGAACAATTTATCCTGCATACATTCCCACCACCTAAAAAGGGCCTTTTGGGTAGCAGGAATGGATGCAGGATGTGTTAATACAATAATCGTTAATAATTATTATTGTTCTAGTAAAAAATGCCATTAAGCTGAAAATCACAAAATATTGGTAACGACGTTTTTTAACCACGGTAGTGGATAGTAAATAAAATAAAAAAGCTTATAAAAAATATTTTTATAGTTGTTTATTAGTTAATTAAAAAGCAAATTTTGTAAAAAAAAATTACTTATGTGGTACCTGGTGACTCTTGGGTTTTTCTTTGCAAGCCATGGTTCTTTTGTTGACCAAGGTATCGTTGTTTTGTAGTCCTAAATACCTCGTCTACATGTTCTTTAAATTCGGACATGTCTGATGGACCTTGTGCAGTCCATGGCAGCTTCTGTAAAATAGAAAATAGTACAATGCATTTCTACGAACCACAGGTACCTATAAATTTTGGCTTCGATTGCACTCAGCTGTGCTGTCAATGACAGCCTGTCATTATTCAATAAGTTTCTTGCCGTTAATTGTCAAAATTTGCATTTAATGCCTATATTAATCACGCACATAAATTATAAACCCAGATAAACATTTCACATCAATTTAATTAACGTTCGTATTTCACACGTTTCAATTTTGCAGACATTACAAAAAAAACCTAGGTTATATTTTGAGGTTAAATTATTAATAATTATTATTTAATAAATAATTATTAATTTTGTTAACAAAAAACCAATATAATACTTAATAAATTCATGAGTAAGTAAAATGTAAATTTGAAAACAAACCGACTGTCAAATAATTTAATAAGCGAGGACATGTCACATGTTTAAATTAAACAAAAAAAACGAAACTTACCTTCTTTTTCCCAACACGATCTGTGCACTTATATTATAATTATAAACTATTATAAATAATTATTACAACCATAGAAACAGAATAATACAACCACTTAAACAAATAAAACAATCGGGCAAAGACGACACAGCTTGTTCCATGCGCATTCATATGCGCAGCGGTGGAGATCTTCGAAACGCGAATATTCAAAAGACATCACGGCGGATCATGTTGTGAACTTATCATGACTCTGAACTCATCATGAGTTCTACACGAGCACAAAACCGTGAAGTCATGACATGAGGTGGTTCATGAACTCATGAATGTTGTACGGGAGGTTTTTCCTTTAATTTTGCTGCACTTGAAACTTACTAAATTTATTATATGTTTTTAAAAGCAAGTTATTCTTTTCACAATATTTTTTAAACTTAACAAGCCATGAAAATATCAGTGACAATATATGGTCATACATAATCATAGATTCATTCATAGATATATGATTATGTATGACCATACATATTCATATATAAACAAATGACATAATAGATTTATATCTGGTTGTGTATAACAGTATAATATAATATAATATATTATAAACATTAAATATGGTTATATATTACGACATGGAATGTCATATGTCGCATATGCGTTTAAAATGGGAAGCCGTATATATGGTCATGTATAATTATACATAATCATACATGGAAGTCAATTTTATATAAACTAATGTTATATATATTCATGTATTATCATGCATAATCATATATATAATCATATATTTTCATACATTTTTTTATATATAATCATATATATATATATATGAGCATACATGAATATACATGATTATATATGAAAATTTTTTCCCCGGGTTTGCAGCTCAAAGAAAAGTAAAAATGTATTAATGTAAAGGCAAAAAGCAGTAAGTGACTAATCATCAGTTTTGAATAAATTGAATTTATTCCTTATATCTTCCAATTTGTTATAATAATGTCACTTACTGCCTTTTGCCTTCTTTGGGCAGTAGTATTGTTGGCCATAAATTAAAGAATTTTTCTATAGGATAGTATTTACTATAAACTAGAAATTTGCCAAGTACGCCCATGATTTTCGTTTATTAACAATGTATGATTAAAAAAACCTGTAGCATTTAATTTAAAAATTAATTTCTTGTAAACTATTTATTAAAAATTAATGAAAATTTGTGATAATGGTAAAAAATAAATGCAATTAACAATACAATTTTCAAAAACCTGCTATTATTTTTTTGGCTACTATTTTTTTCTTTTTTAATAAAAAAAAAATGCTAATTTGGACTTGTTCTCCCCACAAAAATTTAAAAATAAGTGAAAGAAGCTCTAAAAGCTTAAGATTAAGAAACCGTTTAAACATTTTTGTGATCACTCCTTGGGTCAATAATAAATTATTTTGTTCAGCGCCGCGCCACGTTGACATGCGACCGTTTAACCCTTTCAGTCCGGGAAGCGGATCCGTCCGCTAAACCTAACGTCATCCCACAGCCGGGAGACGGATTTAAACGCGCGGCTGTCTGATGCATTGAGACCGGGAAACGATCGGATCCACGGGTACAATATGATGCGTTATGCTTCGTTTTATTTATAAAAACAATATTATAGCGATCGGGTATTATCGTTACGAATGGTGGGACTTTGTTTGGGTTAGTATTTTACCACATTTATAATTGTTTGTCTATGTTTGGAGATTTATTTTGTGCACTAAAAAGTGATAATAACAAAAATGAGCCGAAAATATTTGAATGACGCCGAATTAGAAAGACTTTTGTATGAAATCCGCGTCCCTTTAAGTCCGGGAAGCGTACGAATCTGCAAAGCCTAACGAACGCCGGCTGTGCAGTAAGGCGAGCCAAACGAACGCCGGACTGAAAAGGTTAAGCAGTAGTTAATATCTTTAAAAATTCCAAATTTTAACTTTCTTTTAATACTTTTTTTCCGTTATTACATTTTTAACCAAAACTGTGTACTATTTTTACATTGATCCACTCCTGTGACTGAACCCAATACTTTTTTGCCTTATCAATTTTGGGCTACCAAAATTGCGTATTATTAAAAAATCTTATCGAAAAACAACACTATTTTAATGCACGTTATAAGCGAGAAATTTGTAATATCTATTACACTGATTTTTTATCATCTATGGGTATTTTTTATTGTTATCAAAACGTACCGCAACGATCTCTTTTAAATTTTATGTTTTTGCATCAATTATTGATAAAAAAACTGTTTAAAAAAATAATAATATTGGATTATACCCTTTTTCTTTCAGGTTCCTCCAATTTTGTCGATTAAAAATTAATATAATTTGTAATTTTAGCTTTAAATAAAATAAATCTTTTAAAACAGGATGCAAATAAATAAATAAATAAATAAATAAATTTTGGGATTACTGCTCAGTGGAATTTCTTTGCCACTTCTTACGAAAAAGGGGCTTGTGACGGTATTGCAGGGGCTCTAAAAAAAATTACCAGGCAATCCCATTGGTATGATCCTATAAATGATAACAATACTTTGTAGACTTTTCTCGAATGACAGTTTTTGTTAAAAATGTAATTACAGGAAAAAATAAGCACTATAGTTCTATAAGTTAAGTTAAATAAGTTTATATCTTTAGGTTTATCTTTATTCTGACTTGTTTATCATTGTTAATTTTGCAATTTATGTTTTAATCTAAATATTTTATTTTTTTTATTTTCATTCCATCTCCTGTATTTTGTAAAAATAAAATATTGGCAATTGTTATTTTAAACTTTAATTTTAAATTTTATCAAATAAGAAACTTTCTAGATAAAAAAATATTATTATTGTCTATAACTCTTTAGTCGAATCAATTCTAAGATATGGAATAGTTGCTGGGGGGGTTGTTATGAAAATTCTATGAACTCTGTAGAAAAACTTCAAAACAAAATTCTGAAAATCATATTTAAAAAATCAAGATTATTTTCCATTAATATGTTATAAAATGAATCCAATTTGCCAAAAGTTCGTTTAATTTATATTATACAGTGCATATTTTGGGTAAACAAAAACAATAAGAAAACTGAAATAGTCCCCTCCCAGCATAACATCAGATTTACCGAAAAAATGCATATACTATATACTATATACTATATACTATACTTTTACCCAAAGGAGTGCATTTTATTTTGCGCCAAAATTTCATAACATGTTACCTAAAGAAATAAGTTCTTCAAATAAGTTAAAAAAGTTTAAGGTAGAATCCAAGCGTTACGTAATTTTGTATCAAGAAGACTTTTT